GTGAGAGGGCCAACCCCCCACTGCCAGACTGGTGCAGGGAACTCTCAGGGCTGCTTCAGCACTCCAGCTGGCACAAGGGGTAGTGTTCCCAGGTACCAATTGGCTGGGCCTCAGAATATCCTGAGAGCTAGTAGCCCTGAGCTACTTGCCAGGGTGGCTTTTTATATTGCTGGGGCCAGGACACAGCAGCTTTTTATACTGCTGGAGCCAGGACAGGTGCTGGCCCGGGGCTCTAGCTCTCCCTGGCTGAAAATTCGGGGGAAGCCAGGCAGGGTTATTTTGCCCCAAGTGGCACAATTTGCTCCACAACAAAGTGCATGTCTGAGCACATTCGCTGAAGCAAAAAGCCCCAGCTCAAATTTGCACCGCTTCTATTTGAGCTGCTGCAAGCACACATGCTTGCATGTGTGGACGTGCCCTATGTGGCAGTGATGAGGCAACATCTAAAGTAGTGTGTCCAGTTTTTGGCCCCGCACTACAGAAAGGATGTGGACAAATTGGAGAGAGTCTAGCAGAGGGCAGTGAACATGGTTTGGTGGCTGCGGCACATGACTTCTGAGGAGAGTCTGAGGGAATTGGGCTTATTGGGCTCCTATACACGTGCAGGGAGCTGGCTCCAATGCACTGGAAATCCAGCACATCAGAGCAGACTCGATTAATAGAGTCTGCTGGAACTTGGAGATAAACGCACTCCAGCAAATTCTGGCATCACATGCATTAGCATCCCAATGCCGAGAAATGGCAGCGGGGCACTTTGAACTAAAGTTCATTTGATGAGCTTTAATTCAAAGCACCCTGCCACCATTTTTCAATGTAGGGGATGCTGATACATATGAGGCTTGGGCATATTTAAGTAAAAGTGCTTGCTAATTAAAGTGCTTCCCTGAACCTCCTGGAACATGTATAAAAATGCCCATTTAGTCTGTAGAAGAGAAGACTGAGGGGGGATTTGATAGCAGCCTTCAACTACCTGATGGGTGGTTTGAAACAGGATGAAGCTAGATTGTTCTCAGTGGTGACAGATGACAGAACAAGGAGCAATGGTCCCAAGTTGCATCAAGGGAAGTTTAGGTTGGAAATTGGGAAAAATTCTCTCACTAGGAGGGTAGTACAGTAAATTGGAACAAGTTACACAGAAAGGTGGTGGGCACTCCATCCTTGGAGGTTTTTAAAATCCAGCTAGACAGATCATTGGCTGGGATAATCTAGTTGGGGATGGGTCTGCTTTGAATGGGGGAGGGGGGAAGATTGGACTAAATGGTGTCCTGAAGTCCCTTCCAAGCCTAATATTCTATTATTCTATAAACATGTTGTGACATGGTTAAAAGTATGTACTAGAGCTAAAGGCTTAATTACACTGGGTATTGTCAGTGTTAATCTGGATAGTCCCTGTCCCCCCCAACTATTTTGCTCCTCTTCCCCATATTCCATTGTTTTTTCTTACCTGGTGCTGCCTGTCTTGAGGAAGATACATGTATTTAAAAACAGCAACATGTCAACCAGGGAAGAGATAGAAAAAAAATCATGTATAGTCCAAGAAATCTCCTGATACACAAATCTGATACACTTTGTGTATATGAGAAAAGAATTTGACTTTCAAAGACCTTATTAAATCCTTGTTATAACCATGGTTTAAATCAACAGCTGGCAACCTTTACAAACCACAGGGCAGAACAACCCGCCTCCTGTTTGATGTAGACCTGAGGGCTTCAGTGATGAGGAGGCTTTAGGTGTGCCTGCACCAGGACCAGATTCATGCCCATGTTGCTGCTGTTTTTCCAAACCCTTTGCCTCCTGGCTGTAACATGGGTACAGCTGGAAGCTACTCAGCCTTGGCACAGCTCTCTTTCAGTTAGAAGCTGTACCCACACTGAAGGTTAAGGAGGAAGGGAAGCTGGAGTTAAGGGGGAAGGGAGAAGTGACAGCATTGCCAGCTTTTATCTGCCCAGCTCTAGTGCAGTGACTCACTGTGCAGCCCTTGTTGGGCATGTACAGGCAAAGCCCTTTTGCTCTATGAGCTGATCCAGCCCATGAGTTGTACATTGTTAACCCTTAATTTAAATATTCACTTCATCCTGCCTCCTGCCCCCAGAAATATTGATTTGCCCATTAAAAAAATGTGAACATTTTATACACCATAATTTTATTATTAAATCACTGATATTTTCCTACCTCACTTCAAAAAGAGTGGCAATTATGAGCAGGTGTCCTGGTTTTGTCTGACTTTAAAAAGTCCCCAATTTTCGGTTTTAAAAAAATAATGCCAAATCCACATTTTTCTGTGATTAAAATGAAACACTATAGATATATCTATATATTAACAGCATTTTATTTTAATCATGGAAAATGGGGATTTTGGGTTCCTTTTTTAAACCAAAAATTTGGGTTTTTTGTAAAATCAGATAAAACCAAGATCCCTGATTATGAGGTACCGAAATATTTGTGTATCTTCTTCATGAAAAAATGACAAGGGATGGCTGTGTCCTGGAATAAATGTAGCATAGTTTGCAGCTCTAAGAAAAGATTTCAACTTTCTCATCAAGTTATGAACTAGGATTTTATCAGATATGCATGCAGTAAGCTGTATGTCAGTAATGGCACTGGCAATTGAGCAAAAATCATGGTTAGTTCATCAGAAAAATTAGTAGTCCAATAATGTAAACGCAGCCAGGTGGCATAGGTTAGCTTCCCACCATTGCATTAGTAAGCACTGTTGCCTCTTATGCTTATCAGTGGGTAGTCCTAGTACCTTCTTGGTCAGTTCAGCATTTGATGGTAGATTATGGAGTGCCAGCAGTGGAGTCAAACAGTAATTTATTGTGCCATATGCTTCCCTGTATGTCTCCCAGTATTTATCCAGTATAATCAACAGCTAGGTTGAGATCACACAGTATTAAGAAAATAGAATGGTATATGATATATTCTCCTGAATTATGTTTGTTTTCTTCAAATAAATATCTTGGTTCCTACATTCATCTTTTTTTTTTTTTGTTCAGTTGAATTGGACATCTTTGAGATCTTTGTATGGTGCTTTTATTTTTTTGTCTTGTCTACAGAGGAGGACTTGGATGGCACTGAGTGCTCTAGAGTAATAATGAAGTTTGAAAATAAAAATGTACTTCTTTCTCTAGGGACTGATCTTCAGGTTTGCACTTCTAAAAACCCAACATGCTGTACCAAAAATATGGAAGAAAGATATCAGATTTCAGCAAAGCAGGATATACAGGAAGTGCTTCAAGCATCAAGTTCTGCTTTAAAGTTCTTAATATCCCATAATGCAGCTGCTTTTCAAGGTAAACCTTTCTGTTGTGCATTTCACAGCTTTTTCAAAAACAATTTTTTCAACTTTATTATGTTTGACTGATTAGTGATAAAAGTTATATATGCGTTTTAGTTCCTCCAAATGCTCTTTATACTTTATCAAAAAGGGAATTAATTGCAGGGGATTGGCAGCTTCATTGACATTGGAGTGTTTAGTTGGTAGCTAATGTTCTCTGAGAAAAAAATAGAGAGGCAGGTTTAATTAGGTGCTTTGATTCAAACTGTAGACTGCTAACTTGGCTTTCCTTTTGAACATTTTTGTCTCAGGTGTTGCTCTAGTGTATATTGTAATGGGATGCTGTTTAAGTTATTTCAGCAATCTCTTCCATAAAATGTTGCCATAGAGCAATAAAAATAATAAGCATATCATTTTTAGGATATTGTCTTGGTTACATTTTGTTCTATTTGTGAACTTTAAACTTGTGAATTAAAAAACAAAGTCAAGCTAAATTTCAGTGGTGCAAATACAGAATGCAAAGCCCTCAGATCAATACTTGATGGGTGTGTTGCTGGTGTATTCTTTCAGTAATTCCTCTGTAATCCCTGTACATTGTCCTCTGAATTAGTTCTACATAGGCTGATGTAGAAAGCAGCTGGAAGCTTGGAAGATGGAAAGAGTATGTGGCTGTATGTAATCAACCGGAGAAGGCAATGGAAAGGAAGAGAATGAATATGCTGACGGCAAAAACCTGCTCTTCTTAAAGTAAACTGAAGTCTTCCTATTTATCTTTTAAGGTGATACTTGTATGGCCCTGATCACCATTATTCCATGAGCAGCATTTTTCCTAGAATGGCGTCATGGCCCAGGGGGAAGTTTAGCAGCATTTGATTCTCAGTTCTAGACCACTGTCTTTCCATAACGGTTCTTAATTCTCTGTGCTTTAAACCTCTCTCAGTTTTGCTTATCCTGAGGTTTTTAAAAGATGAATTAACTGAAGCCTAATGCATAAGCCTATTATAAAAATAAAATAGAGGTCCAGAGAATTTGTATTTAGATATCATAATAGTATTATTTTAGGAATATAGCTCATCGTGTACCAAGATTTTATTTTAATGCATGTGTGTAAATGGGAAGAATTTATATTGTAAACGTAATTCTGGCAAACCCTGACATTTGTGTTTTTATGTAAGAAAAATTTAATTATCTTGTATACAATTTTATGAAAGATATATTATTTTGATGCAGTTTCATGCTATTATTTTACAAACTTATTGCTATACAAGAGATCAAATGCTCATTTTGATGTAGACTAAAATGGAGCAAGTCATCTCAGACCCTTGTACCACATTTATTTTAGTTTATAGCGCCATTTACTACATTTAAATGTGGCAAAGTTGCAAGCTAGCTTAATATATTAGGTGGACTACAAAATACGTTGTAATATTCTAAGCTGCTTTTTCTGGTAGCCCACTTTTGCCATCAGGTACAATGAATATTTGTTCATCCTGGTAGAAAAAATAATAGTTTTACTGTTTAAATTGTTCTCAGCTTATAACTTTTCTTAGAGAATGATTTGAAGAACAGAAACCTCCTTTTAAGCAGGAACTCTCATCTTCCACTTACAGTTTCAAGAGGCACATTGCTTTCCGTGTAGTATGTAAAGTAGGGAGCTACTTTGAAGGCACTGTAAAATAATGCAGTAAAATGAAAATAAATTTATAAATAAAAATGAATACTTTACAATTTCTTGATTACATGAATAAAATTATCCTGTTTCAAGTTACATAAGTACTTAGCTTGATTCTCAGTTACTCTATTAGTGGATTTGGGGTTGGGACAGACAAAGGCAGCTTTTATGCCACCATCCTTAGGCTCACTATATTTTGGAGTTATGCAGCAGCTTCTCTATCCTTCAGATATTTGTATGTTAGCCTTTGGGCCCTAGGAAGCATAAAATAAGCATAGTGTAGTTATTTGGCTATACCAATAAGCTTTTTCTTTTGGGACCTGGGAACAAGGTCATCCTATGCCAGGCCCCTTGTTTTCATAACTTTCTCAGGGGACGGTGTCAGGGCAATCTGTCACAAGATGTAAAGGGGTCTTGGTGTAACTCAGAACGAGATCTAGTATGTTCCTAGTTTACTAACACATAAAACACAACATAAAAGGGCCATATGTATGACAAAGGCCAGAATATATGCCTTGAGATCATTACTAATCAACAGAGTTTTTCTTGTGTATTGTCAAAAAAAAAAAAAAAAAAAGTCAT